CCAGTTTGAATACTTTCATATTTCATTTCGTGTTTAAATTTCCATTTTCTTATGACGCAAACTGTATTGAAAATTCAGCCAGATATCTGGAGACTTAAACCAAGTTCCCAAAATTAGGCTTTAAAATGGTAATTTCAAAGTCGAGTAAAATAATTATTTTTCAATCTCTAGTCCGTCCCCTTTCGAAATTTCATCCTTCATACAATTTCTTTGATGTATCAGATTCTCATTCGAATGGTGAAGGAAACACGATTCCCATTTCTTATATAGATCAAAGAAATAATTAGCAAAAAATGATTAAAGTGTTCCAGGGCACTTCAAAAATTTCTTTTTACAATCCGTTAAACAATTTTCGGCAAATGAAATCGAATTCCTCCGTACTTAAAGCATATTTTTTGAGAACCATTATCGAATTATTTGTCCACTTATGGCGTGACGGAATTGAGGGGACATGAACTGGAATTGGGAGACGTTCTAATTTCCCTCATGAAGAGTTAAACGAAATGAGGTTAATTTTTTTAACAAGAGAAAATACATGGGGAAAAGTATCACATTTAAAACAAGGTCATTAATATAATTAATCGGGCAATCGCTTGGTGAAGCATTAAAATAAAGCAACATTTTCACGCCTAATTAGTGTGACGTTGTGATTCGAAGGAGAAGGCGTAAGGAATTTGGAGCTGGGCAAGCTCTTTTCCTCCTTTTAACTGATTTTTTTTCCTAATCAGTCTTAAAAGCTTCTGTAAGAACTTGATGATGATTGCTGCCTTAATTGTTAAATGGATCTGTCGTCGTACTAAAACGCCATCTGGTGGTGATAAACGTAGCTGACAAATATTTGCTTCATCAAAAAAATGAAAGAAATTGCTAACTATTGTTGAACCAATTTGTTACTTTTCTGGGATACGGAAGTTGATATTTTGTGGAAGAGTGATAGATATTGTACGTCGGCAGATTGGGAATTAGTTGCTATTGGCTATATATATAAATTTTGTTTTTGAAACTGCAATATAAAAATGTATTTTTCAGCTTATTAATTTTCATTTAGCATGTAACGATTTTCAATTATTTTGTATTTTAAACTAGCTTTTTAAAAGAAAGTACATTTTCATTTATTATAAGCTTCTGTTTATTTCACTCATGGTGTTTGTCACTATCGCCAAAAGTTCTTAATTTGTTTTTAAACTTATTCCTGAGAAGCTATCGAGTTCCAAATTTACGCATGCACTATTTTTGGATGACAAAATAATGCACTGAAGAGATTTTTTTTTCCAAAAGTCGATTTAGAGTTTTCAAATTTAATGTTTGAACGATTTTCTGTATATACCTCCGTTTAACGAACTACTCTCTGAATATGAAAATTGTAATTTAATTTCTGAATTTCTGGCAAATTTTCGGGAATCCCTCGATTTTTCGACCATTTGACGTAACAGATTTCCTGGAAGTAAAAGAGTGATTTTGAACTGAATAATGCAACTGACAACGAATTGACTTAAAATAAAAATAAAATAATGTTAAAAAATGTTTTCCTAAAAGAAGCTTTTTTTTAAAACCCACAAAATAGTTAATAAACGAAAAGAAGAAAAATAATTTATCATATAGTTTCATGGGAATAAATGATTAAATAAATTTCATTACAAAATTCATCTAAAAATTTATATCACTAATAATAAAAGTGTTAGCACCCAAATAGCGAAGAATATTAATCAAATAACATCGATAAAAATATATACCATTATTTATTTATAAATTTATCAAAGGTGCCTCAAGCTTTTCTTCTTCGTAATAAAAAAATTCAGTTGAATTTCGCAAAGAGAATAAATTAATCCCTTGCTCCCAAGAAGCCACATGATAAAATCATTTCCTTTAGTTCATTAATTATTTTATGAGTTTCAAATAAAAAATTATTTTTATAAAAACAATTTTTTTACTATATTTTATTTTTCATTAATTACTAAGAGTAAAATATTCAGCGATTGTATTTTATTAACATAGAAATAAAATACGAAACTATTCCAACTGGCAACTTTACTTGGTGTAGATTTTGACACAGGTGCTTTTTCTTAAGGAGTAAACAAATTTTTATCCCTTTGATTGCCCTCGAAATTTTATTCAAAATCTATCATCATTTAGTAAGGCATTAAAGCCGTAAAATGTTTGCTCAAGTTATAAAAAGCCTACCCGCGGCCGAGCGGTAAAGTCGTTGAACACTGGTTGTTCGGTTTGAGGATCGAATTCCGGAAAACGGGCTGGCTACATGGGCGTTTTCGTGGCTTTCCCCCATGTGTAACATGTATACGATCCAGTTTCAATTAGAAAGACCTCCACGAAGGCATCCCTTCCCTTAGGCAGATAGCCTAATGTGCTTTGCCGTAATCTCCATAAACCAGACCAAATTACAAAAATGTTTAAAATAGTTCAAATTTCAAATGACACGTCTCTGGAAATATTCGAATTAATAAAATGATCGACAGACTACTTTTCAGTAGTTTTAGAGTTCTTGGAGAACTTTTGGGAGCATGAATATTTTGTTCAACAGGAATTATGATATGCAGCAACCATGATTTATGTAGGGTTCTATTTGTTATATGTTAGATTAATGACAAATTCTCCACAATTGTTTCCATAAATGGAGAACCTACCAGTGGAAATTTCGACTTGATGTGGTGTAATGGCCGAAACCGCTACACAAAACCCGCGTTGTAATACAGGGTTGGTGTGGTGTATTCAATTATGGCAAAGCACACTAGGGCTATCTGCCTAAGGGGAGGGATGCCTTTCGTGGAGGACTTTCTAAGGGAAACTGGCTCGTATACACTAATACAGGGTTGAAATGAACTTCTAACTCAAGTTATAACAATAACACGAGTTATAATAAAATAAAAACATTAATAATTGCATATCCAGACGATGCGGGACTTATATACATTCAGTCCCGTAATTTCAGAAATTTGTTGACAGGAAGAATGCTGTATCGTATTATGCAAGAAGAGTGATAGTTCTAGCGGGTCAACATGCCATAGCTCCAGAAGAAAAGTCCCTCTTCTCAGGGAAAATAAAACAAACTTTTATATCTTACTGTATCGTTATCCCTGCGCTGAACTGACGGGGGAAGATTCTTTCACTCGTACATAACAATATCCATATTCTATTCTAACTCTGATGAAAAGACTTCTTTTATTTCTTTGTCCCTTGGAGTGACCTTCGAGGCTGCAACCGGAATCATTAACAAAGTCACCTTGTTTCAAAATGATTTAACCACTGTTCTGTAAGATCTAACAATGCATTCTAAAATCATTCATCCTAGACAAAGAACCTCTATGCGACCTTATCAAATTGGGTCAAATATTTGGGAATGGGTTGTGTACATGGGCGCTTTTGTGGTTTTCTCCATGCTTCATGTGAACTTGAGACAGTTTTCCTTCGAAAACCCTCCACGAAGACATAATATATCTTAGGCACATTGCCTCTATATGATTTGATATAACCTAATAAATCGACTCTTTCTTGAGGAAAAGGATGCTTTCATGAGTGGAGTATTTTTAGGGGATTTGCATACATACTTCCTTTACACGGGACGAAAAACGCTAACCGCTATTCAGCCAATCCCTTTTTATGGGCTTTTTTATGAGCAAGTTTTCTCCTTTAACCATTCACAATATACTTGAGGGTTATCCGCTTCAGGAAACTTCAGCTGCATCAAGATATGGCAATAAGTATCCAATAAATATCTATCTTCCCATTTCCTTATTTGTTCCTGTTTGTGACTTTTCTAACTTGGATGTAGCAATGCAGAACTGCATCTGTCGTTCGCACTGGCCTGAGACACCTTTCAAATATCAGTATGACTCTGCCCAATTTTGAAGAAAAATATCCCAGGAGATGTATCCAAGGGTCTCACACTTCTCTTTCCCTACCATCAAATCACTCGACAGGACTTTTGAATATCTGTGTATTTTTAAGTTCCTCATGTTGCAAAGATACAATTTGCAAAGATGTAACGCTTTTTCGGGACTCAAACGCGTGCCCAGAGATACGGCAGTCAGCAGTGCTAACCATTGTTTCGATAAGGGAAGCGTTCTCCCTCTTTTGTGTGCTTTTACGTTTGTTTTGTGACTTGTGATGGGTATTCTTCTATTAGCTTCTACGTTGTTCTTTCCTTCGCTTTCTGTTCTTTATTTTTTCAAGTGTCATTAGGATATACTAAGTAGTGAAACGGATGCCATCAACGTTCTTAGGATGAGCCCCAAAAATATTGAACCCTCTTACAAATTTCAAAATTTTAAACGATTTAAATCGGCAAGTGCAAGAATAATAAAAGAATCAAACATATTATTCGGAATTTGCTATTTGCGTTTTAATGTTGTATTCAAAAATAAAAATATATTAATTCGAAATACAATAAAATTTTACCTACAAAGAAAACAAGGGCTGAACTAATTAACTTTTGTTAGTGCAAATAAACAAGTTATATTAATATGTTAATGTTACTATGTGTAAAAAGATGCTTTGTTAATATGCTCAAAGTTGCGGTTTAATATATTTCAGTTAGTTAGTTTTTATTGCGTCAGCCTAAAACCTTGAGTTTTTAAATAAAATTCTAAAATTTTTAATAATAACTAAAAGCTGTTCAGTGACTACCAGAAATCATAGGACATCAAATGCAGAAGAAAATGTCTATGCAATTAGAGTTCACAATCAGATTTTAAACATATCCCCAGCAAGAATCAAATCTGGGTCGAATTACTATCGTTTTGTGATTTAGCCGACCACTTAATCGTCAGTTATTATCGATTTCAAACTGTATCATGTTGAATTGTAGTCGACATCGAAATCAAAGCCTCATAAAGGACAATTAAGGAAAGAATGTTGCCTCTTTCCACGTTGCGAACTATTTATCCTCGAATATTAACTTCTGCAGTTCAGAGGTCAACACACACTTTGTAAAACTCGCAGTTTCCACAGTTATGAGATGAAGAATAAAATATGCAATAACTTACCTCTGGCAAGGTGAGTGCTTCTGTGGACTGTTCTCCGCAGTAACGCAGTCAACCCTAAATGTTCCCCATCATCCCCGTCATAAGGACAACTGTTACGGCGTCTACAAAAAGGAGAGAAATAACAGCGACTATTACAGAGTCTACAACAAAGAAAGAGAAGTATTACGGTATTTACAACAAAGAGAAATAAGGACAATTGTTAAGGGGTCTACAACAAAGAAAGAGAACTATTACCGTATTTACAACAAAGACAAATAAGGACAATTGGTAAGGCGCCTATAACAGAGACATATAGAAGCAATTGTTATACAAATGTAAGTAACAACAAACAGAAATAATGACAACTATTACGTCTACATGAAAGAAAGAGAAACGACAAAAACAAATAAGTACAATTGTCAACATAGAATTGGAAACAAGGACAACTATAATGCCATCTACAAGTGCCATCTACTCGCCGGGGCTTGAACCTTGGACCTCTCGAATATGCGGCGGATTACACCGAGAAGGCATGTTAAGATGGCTGGAGAAATACCTTATATACTCCCCCTTTTAAAGGGTGACTGAGGATTAGAGTACCCAGTCGCGAAATCCTGGTGGTGGAGAATCATCATCCACCATCCATTTTAGTTCGGGCGCCACTGTAGAGATACCAAGACGTGAAAAATGAGCAACGTCCCCCCACGGTACTCTAACCTCGGACCTATCGAATACGCGCCGAGCGTGCTGTTATTACACTACAAAGGTATGCTAAGAACGGAGAAGAAATACCTTATAACTGCATAGTGTAACCAATTGGATACATACTGCTTACGTATGCAGCTTTGAAAGTTTCAGTGTGGTGGCACCACTAACGGTGTAACGGTCATTATTGCAAGTTGATGTGTAGGGTGTGGACATCATTTGTGCTTACGAACTTTTGATTTTCTGTTTGTTGTTATTTTGATGCATTCAAAGTTTTAAAATTGATTCAACAAGTTTATAAGGTACAAAATTGTTATTACACATTTGCTTATCATATATTTTTTTGCATAATGTAACCATTTGGCAAGAATAATATTTAAAAAAAATTGGAATAAAACTTAGTTTATTTTTTTTAGTATTTTTCTTATTTTATTTAATATACACTCGACGAGTATCGAGAGATATGAGGTTTGAATCCCGGCGAAGGCATTGCTCATTTCTTCAGTTTCCTGACATCGAAAAAATATGAATGTCTCTACACAGTAAGCTATAATCTGATGTATTGCTTGACTGAAATTAAAAAATAAAAATAAAAATTCATGCATTTAAGGGTTAAACGAAATATTGTGAATAACATACATACACAACCGATTGTACAACAGCCTTGATATTAAAGTCCGGCCGGGCCAACCAAGATCACGTCACAATAATTCACATCTACCAATTTACGATCTCTGGTCCCTACCTCACCTACCAGTTACAAGCTTGCCATATCTATGTTGTGCTCCATTAAATCCTTATATTAAATAAGCATTAAAAACAAATTAAATAACTAAATATTATATAGCGGGTAAAATCTCAATGCAAAGAAACCGAAATATAAAGTGCTGACAGACTTTATGCATTTTTGCTTATGCTGTGCCTTATTTGATTGTCCGGAAGAACATAAGAGATTGGTTACTGTGCAGGATTTATTACCGGGCATCAAAATTTACTCTAAAACCAGGCCCATAATCAGAGGCTGTGCAATTTATTATAATCTATAACTAGGAAATTAGATGACTGAGCATTTGCATGTGGCCCTAAGCCAGAATTTGATCAGAGTTTCATACACGTTACTTAATCTTTTATTTTATGTTTCCTTGGTGATATAATAAACACTTTTACTTCGAACCCATTAAACTGTTCCTGACAAAGCGTATGAAATGTTACAGGTTTACGAACAAGACCGTACATTTTGATCGGATCCTAAACTTAGACATGCAATGATAAATTTTAAATGTCTTCAGAAAAGAGTTAAACATGAAGAAAATGTTACAATTGCAAGAAGTCAATATTTTTCTTTGTGATGTTTAAAGTCTGCGTTAAACTATGATTAATTCCAGTTAACTCCAATGTTAAAGAATGTAATTTACGTGTTTGCAAACAACTGCACGCATTTTATTGAAATGTGCCTAACTTAAGCTCCAGATTCTACCAATGCGACAGCCATGATTGCGGTTATGTATGAATGCTGGACGTCATTACTTTGAATTTAACTGAACAGCGTACTAAGGTAGTACAATTAATCATCGCAAAGTAGATAAAAACAATAACTTTGTTTTATTTTAATCCAAGATGCCGTTTGAAGCGACGGTGCAGGTCTTAAAACTAAGCAGAGATTTTTAGCTCTCGCTTTCGGTATTAAATTAAAAAAAAAAGGAGATTATTTGTTAAAGGATATACCTTTACCCTAAGCTTTTAAGAAAATTATTTCACACATGTTTTCATCAACATATGGCTCCAGCATCTTCACTTCTTTCTCCTCATTGTTATCGCCTGAGGACAGGCTTCTCTTCTATCATTTGCACTTCAGCAGCTGAAGAAGTAGGTTCCAAATTTAAGCTTTCGAATCTTTTCCTACAAATTTATGAATATTACGTTGATTTTAGTTGAATTAGCACCTTCAATAAGATTATTTGTTACTTAAGTAAAACCAGATCCAAAACTTATCAACTACTGAATTTAAATGAAGCTGAGACCTACTGAATACTGAATTCGTTTGATGAGACCTACTGAATATTGAATTGTTTCGTTTTTTGTTATAAAATATAATAATCGACCAAAAACCGTAAACTGTTGTAAAATAATAATAAACTAACTATTGGTATTCATATTAAGGAAAAAACTTTAAACACGTAAATAAAGGTTTAAATTTTCCTTTACTTGGAGAGGTTGATTCAGGTAACCAAAATTCGGGATGACTGGCGTTTGAGAAATCGATTTTCGCATATTTCTAGAAGACGTGGAAGTTGAATTTTTATAATTACAGAAAACAATTGTTGTTACCACCAACGCAGCGGAATCAAGTAATGTTGCTCAAATTGCATATCAGTTATATAGTAATTAACACTATTCAGAATATATGCATTCTTCCTTCCTATTTCGGGTTTTCCAAGTAAATATTATTTCTGAACACTGTTGGTTTGATCTGGAATTAAAACATGGCGAAATGTTTGGCTGTATAAGCGTTTTCGTGGTTTCCTCACGTGAAATATGAATACGAGTTAGTTTACCTTAGAATGTTCTTTATGAAGGCATTTCTTCTCTTAGGTGAATAGCCTAAATATAATTTGCCAAAATCTAGTAAATCCAATCAAATATAAGCTCAGTGACGAGAAGTATGGTGTTTCGCGTTAGTCAATGTTTTAATGTAATGTAGTCTCGGTATTTCTGAAGAAGAAATTTTGGATAAAAATTAAATCTGTTAAGAGATCCTACAGTGCAATACTGTCATCTTGGTATTTTTATGGGGAAACTGCACAGCCATACGGAACCATAGCATGATGAGTATTCGTCTTCAGCTGAATTTCAATCAAGTCCAGTTTCGAGTGATGCCTCTACGGGTTGCCATGAAAGTCAAATAGTACTAGAACTGCCAGCCGTATGAAAATTGTGGGATATTCTTGAATATGTCAGTGATAATGCTTTTCTAACATTTAACTTAACTGCAAGGCAGACCGTCAACGCACGGTATTACTTTTCGTTTTTGGAATAACGTTTCCGAGTAGCTTCCAGAAACAGTCGCCATCTTTCTTTCAGGATCCAACATCATTGTGGCGGATACTGGGCGCAAACAGAGCAAGTGGCCGCTGATTAATGGGATTGAGAAATGCTTTATCAACCACCATCCAGGTGGTAACCTGGATACCCGTGACTTAATTCCTAAGATGATAGAACATTTTTACGGTATTTGATTCAGAATGTAGCAGAGAATTTTCAGGCATTAAAAAATATTTAAAGTACTGAAATCCCAAACTCATGTTTGAAGCCCTTCTCCTAACACTGACCGAATTCCTCAGAAATTTTCAGTTCTTTTTGTAATAATTGTATATTCCAACGGCAACATCTCAGGGCATTTGCTTGCATGTCTCGTGACGCAAGATTTTAATATTGTCCATAATTAAAGTATTTACTTTAAGCCTTAGTCTTGAAAACAAAAGGCGTGACTTAAACATAGTTTTTCAAACAAAGCAAACAAAACTTTTCTTGAACAAAAAACGGGTTTTATTTTAAGGTTAGCTGTGACTGGGATTCGAGCCTAAATCCTCTGGGAACGGGTGGAAGTTCTTATGAATTAACATACCAGGCATAACTTTTTTGGTCTTTTCGTGGTACATCTTGCCCCCGACAAAAAGGGGCAGTTCTATATCTCCCTTTCTACTAGACCGTTTGTCAAAATTTAACTTCGGTTTTCCATGTCTCGAACGCGCGACTTAGGATATGTACTAGATTTATATATAGCATTATTCTAACATAGGTATTTTCACACGAAATCGGACTTTTTCACATACCAAATTTTTTCCATATTTCGACTCTACAACTCAAATTAGGCCAAAGTGCCACGTGTTGTAAAAATGGCACGAGTAAGTTTTAAAAAATTAGCTCTCAAAATTTTAGTTCCTCCGTGTTAATTGAATTTGGTATATATTTATTAGTATCTCTTTTCTTTTTAAACTTATTTGATTCTTCCTTTCACATTTCGAAATTTAGGTTCATTCCGAATAAAATTCGCCCATTTTTTATGATTTATTTTAAAATTTGTATTTTAAAATAATTTTTATAAATTTTTCGAAAACAAATTTGAATTATAACGTACAAAATTTTTACAATCATCTTAAAGTAGATCTATTTCTAAGGATACCTGCAAAAATTAGAGTTTTTCATTCAAAATGTCCTACGATATACGTGAATTCACATATTGGCGCGTTTCGAAATTCGGCATGTTTTTTATAAGCGATAATGACAGGAAATATGGTTTATTCATTTTGTTAAAATAATTTGAAAGTATGAAGGATGATTTTTTTTTTTTTTTTTTTTTTTTTTTTTTTACTCTCGTGTGCAATGAAAAAAAGAAAAGGAAAATAGGTTGCTTTAAGTTAAGAAGTTTGCCAAGTGAATTATTATGGGCGTAAACTGAAAAAAGGTGCGCCAAGATAAATTTTTAAATTTCTCACCAAAAATTACACAATTTAATGGGCATTAATAATTTAGTAAACCTAGTCATAATCCGAGTTGTGGAATCAAAATATGGAAAAAAATTGGTACGTTATTTCAGAAAAAGTCCGATTTTGTGCCCAAATACCTACGTTAGATCAATGCTACATATAAATCTAATACATATCCTAAGTCTCGCTTTCGAGATACGGAAAACGCACGTTGAATTTGGACAATCGGTCCACTACAACGGAAAATGTAGAACTGTCCTTTTGATGCCTCCACCTATGTTTACGCTAGTTTCTTCTTCCTTCCTTCCCTCCCTCTTTTTCGGTTTTGCTGCTGCATTGTACATGCCGTGGTAAAACTGGCAATGGAGAATTTTTGGGTGCCCCCCTTTACTGAATACCTAAGGAGTTTTTTGTGGTGTCCCCTTTCCTTGATGCCCTAAGCATGTGCTCCTATTGCTTTTGGTTAGCGCTTATCAGAAAGTTAACTAAAAATGTCTGAAGGCTAACATAATATGCTAAAACTCATGTACGAAAAATTTCAAAAATATTTAGTAAACTACAGTTTTTCAGGTACTTTTCTTTTACTAAAATTTAATGTACTGGAAAAATCGGAAGAAATTTCATAAAAGAGCATTTTCTAGAAAAAAATGTCACGACCCAGATTGTAAGACTAATTGACTTAAGCTAGGCATATTTTAATGAATCTTCTTAAATTTTGCCGTATATATTTTTGAAATTCATAAAGAGAGAAGAGGAAAATTAATATCAAAAAAGCAAACTAAGCTTAATTACCGTTTTCCCCCTGCCCCCTCTCCAAGAAAGTTTTGGCTAAGAAGTCATTTTCTACTTTAAATAGCGTAAAAACTACTCTTGAATATTCCATATCTCATTAGCATGGAATTAGCATCGAGTGAGGTAGAATTTTATGGTAAGATGTTCAGATAACGTAAAAAAAAGTAGAAATTATTAAAAGGAAAAAATCATTTTTTTCTATTTATACTTCTGAATTAGGATTTATACCTTGTGTAAGAAGACTAAAATACGTGTGATGGTGAACCGTTAATAAAACCATTTAACAAAAAATAATCTCTTGTGAAAACAGCATTCTAATTTATTATTTGTTCAAACCATAAAATAATTATTTATTCCATATTAAAACACGAAAAAAATAATCTGTCTTAATTCACAGAAGATTAAAAGTAAAGATTTACCTGTATTTTCACGCAGTTTTATCTAGAGAATAAATTAGTTTCGTTTTATAAATAAAAGCAGTTTTAAAATTAAAGGAACACACTATTAATAGCGGAACTATAACCATTTAGCAAAAGAAAAGAAAAGAAAAAAAAAAAAAAAAAAAAAAAAAAAAAAAAAAAGATTTAAACTAATTAACTAAACTAAATTTTAAACATTGTAAAAGAACAATTTTCTGTAACTTTTTGTTTCTTTGTTTTTCTTGTAGACAGTTCTGTTTTACGCTGAAGGTTTGTAATATACAAATTTGAGTTCATTAAGACAAATTTCAGCCGGGGAAAATCAGGATTTGATTACACATGAAATACTTTGAATTATTTAGTTTTGTGGCGGTCTCGAAACTAGAGGCTCGCTAATACTGTTTTTGCTGCTTGCTGGTGTCGCCATCTCTTAGCACTAATGGAAAGTGTGACGCACGAGTTCCTATCGAAATTAAACGACCTTGGATTCGATCGTGAAACAGTTACGTGGCAGTCAAGTATGGTACCGCTAACACAAAAGAGCTTCTGCGCTGTAGATTCTGATATTTGAACTGCTTCGTGGTGCGGGTTTATAGTTAACCTTCGAGATCTCAGCATTTTAAATGCAGACTATTTTAAACAAAATTCCTCTACGCTTGAGATAATTCAGAATGTCTTTAAAAGCTCTTTTTATTTAAGTCAAATGTATTTGCACTCTTTTCCGTATTCGTTCAGAAACTTTTGAAAGACTCTTTGTGGTAAGATCCGCATACGTCAAACTCGAGTACCACCAGTTGGTAGTCACGTGACGATAAAAAAATAAAACAGTAGAATTATTAACCAATACTGACGCACGATAAATCAATAGATAGACATGTATTTAGTTTAGTTTTCAAATGCCATTATGTGACAGGCCGCTACTACAGAAATTCTTGATCGTAAAGCTCAAGTTGTTGTTTAGTTTAATAAAGCTGTGTATTCATGTTAATCAAATTAAAATTTTATTGGTATCGAATTATTGCGCATGTTACTTAGGGCTGAACCATACAGACCCAGTCGCCAACCTATATTTAGGATTAAAATGGACTGAATTATGAGCAGACCAAGTCTCCCTGACTAGAGGAACAGTTGCCTTCGTCGAGAACTCTAAGAGGTTTCCAAGTTACATATGGGAAAAAGTGCAAAAACTACTATGCAACCATCCCATAGGCCGGGACTTGAACCCGAGTCGAAGTATCAGTATTCATCGATTTTACCTCTCGAGTACTGGTGGGCTTCCCAAGTTAGGATCCTCAGCAAATGTAAAACAATATTTGACAAATCAAGCGGATATGTTGCTTATTAGTAGATCCGTACTGTAAAAAATCCATTAAGAGCTATAACTGCGAAGGCCTTGGGAATTAGGTCCCCAGATCTTTGAAATAAGAGACTAGTGTTCTTCTATTTGGCGGATACTCCATCAGAACGGACAAAAGGCTTAGTCCTGAATGTTTGCTAATGGAATGTTGAATTGTATATTATTATCTTGTGCCTGTAAGAGTATAAAGTAGAACTACAGTAACGGCAGTGACAGTTATGTTAAGTTAAATAAAACATAAATTAATTTTCCTCTTTTAGGTCTTTACATTTTTAATTATGTAATAAAATTACTCAGCTACGTGACAAATGCATGAATATATTACCTGATGAGGCAAATGACAAGTATGAGGACGAGCACAACAAGAATCGTTCCGCAGATGACGCCAAACAGGAAGGTCATGGGGCTGTCGGCGGGCCTCACGGGGGGTGCTGTCCCCGCGCTCGACCCCGACGACGACAGTGAACCTAAACGAAAAGGAACAGCCCTTCCTTCTATTATTAATACAGACAGGGCACTCAAATTTACATGAGAAAGGTATAAAATGAATTGTTTCACAATCCTTATATGGAATAAAGGCTAAATGAGTTAATAAATGCAAATTATAATTGTGCATTAAAATAAGGGTCATCGTATTTGGCAGCATAATTAAGTGGATTTCAAATCTGTCTACGACAGAAAATCATAAATTATCTCGCATTCTTGTTTCTTCAATTTATGCACACGAAAGTAAGGGTGCCACATATTCGTACGTAGTCCTCTTTCATGCATTTGATCCAATGATCCACAAACTTATTTCAGTCATCTGTGCACCGCTTGATCCATATCGTTTTCTATAAAAATATGGACGTAAGTAACAACGTAAAGACTCTTTAAGTATTCCAAAGAGATGGTAGTCGAGGAAGGGATGAGTTCTAGGCTGTAGACAGGGCATCCTAAATGGATGCAAATGACTCTTTAGAAACCCAAATGGTAAATGATTTCAATAGTCTTTTGCCTTGCAGTAATCTTTCTTGGCTCCCATCTTGAACAGGTTTTATGGTAATCGAGCTTATCAAACATGATCTGATAGGTGGAAGTATGAGTAGATTGATGAAATGCTTATTCATCGACAGTAACTTGCTGTTTCCTTACTATCTCTCGAGCTTTCTGAATCTTTTCGTTAGTGGTAGAGGCTTGGTGATAGGTGCTGCTTTTTCTTCCATCACCGCTTCTTCGATTATATTCAGTTTTCTAGATTTACTGATACACGCTCTGAGGAATTTCGCTCCCATGTCGAACAATAGCTGTTAACCATTGCTAAAGATTAAGTCTCCACGTCCATTGTCAACTGACCTGAACAGAAGGCGGAAACACCCCATTTCCGATAGATTTTAGTACCTCATACACCCGCCGCCATCGAAAATGCCACTACGTCTCGCCGTTTCTGTTTTCTGGAAAAATTCTGAGTCTTCTGTCTTCTCTGTTTTTTAATTTTCATACAAAGTAATTTTCAGATTCTTATCTGTTTATCATTTCTTGGATCCATTTTATTCAAATTTTATATGCTACAGCTATGAGCAGTCCACTTCGCAGTTTTGTCTCCAGTGTTATTACTAATCCTCCTGATCCAAACATAATTCAGAACCTAATGTTTTGGACAGTTTTCTCAATCCTATTCCAGTTTTAAAGGAGAATATCGCAGATGATGGAGCCAAATGTCTCCTACTGTTATTCTTCTGTCAACAATATTTCTAAGAGACTTTCGGCGCAGTGGAAATTTTAACCCTTTATCTACGAATTACCCCGTTTTCTATCCAAGTGAATAAAATCTGTCATAAATAATGTGCATTTGGAATTTTTTTTGACAAACGGATTTCAAGCCAAAGGCTGGGACACATATGTCCCAGCCGTAGTTAATAGTGGGATGCATATGTCCCCCACGTAGCAATCGACTTGCTATAAGCACACCTATTATTCTGGAAAACTCTATTATATGAAATAGATTTACATCGTATAGTACAGGGTAAAGCATTCTTTGCATAACACAACATTACACATTGGGAAACTTATATTTGTTCTTTTCTTTATATTCATTTGTGTACAACGAGCACAGCGGCATCTTCATTTTCTAGCTATTGGAAGATGATATCCAACATTCAAGAGATTCTAAATACTTTTTAAATCCAGCAGTAAATTTAAACTTTTAATGGGACATGTTTGTCCCGTTAGTAGTCAAAGGGTTAAGCAGCAAAAAAGCTATACATTTACAAACATTCTGCGAAATTCTAATGTGGGCATTTAGTACCGCTAACTACTTTACTGAAGAGGAGAGGCACATTTATTAATTCTTGTGGGCTTGAACGATGCAAGTTCATTTTCTATCTTCTAAGACCACATGCGAAGTTACGTTGCCTTTTCCCACACGCATGCTTATTAGTTTCCTTTTGATTTCTGACAGTTTTGCTGCCAATCGGAATGATTTCTTGTCTTTCGGGTTTTACACTACAGGTTTCGCTTCTTGTTTTAATTAGCGGATCCTTATAATTCATAATTCAAGAGAAAATTACCAGTAAAAGAAGGAGGTTGTTTTATCAAAAATATAAAAGTTTATACACTTCAAAAACAGAAAGAGTTGACATCTTTGAATTTTAAATAAATGAAATAGGCAAAGTCGATACTAACACTTACTAGTCTGCGCTGGTTTAAAGTATTCACTCTGTTTGGCTAAAATCTGAAAAGGAAAAAAAGATGAAAACTTATATTCAACTGTTACTCCTGCTGTGAATACTGGAAACATACTTAATTATACATTTTTCGCTATAGTTAGAAAATTTACGTCACGGAACTTCAATGAAATAACATGAATCTACAATTTTTAAAATCTAAACGATTACAAAGCATGAAATATTACAAAAATGTATGTAACAAAATCATATCAGTTTTAAAACCAGGCAAAATTCAAGCTTATATTACATAAATTTGCTCTGCGCATTTTTAGATATATTAACGTGAATGTTTTTGCTTCAGAAAGCTTGAAAAGGGAATTATTAAACAAAGACCCACTTAAGCGTATATTTTTGGTCAAAAAAGCAAAGTAAATGCTTTTAACCAACAGACCATTTTTAGTGCGATTTCGTTGTATTGGTTTGTTCGGAAAATAATTTCGTTTTCCTCCAACAAAGGGTTTAATTGTATTTTTTTACAGCCAACTTCTCTTTAAGCCACATGGTCTTTGCATATTTTGACAACTGATATAGCAACGCGTTTTTTGTGAAAAAAGTCGAGTAATTCTACACATTAAGTTTCTGATCGGTGTCCCGTTCAAACATGGAAAGTGAAAAGCAGCATTTTCGGCATATTTTACTCTTTTACTATCGGAAAGGTACAAATCCTATTCAAGCAAGAAAAAAATTATCCGATGTGTATGGAGAAGATGTATTGACAGAACGCCAGTGCTAAAACGGGTTGGCAAAATTTCGATCCGGCAATTTTGATTTTGAAGATGCACCATGTTCTGGAAGGCCAGTTGAAGTTGATAAGACACAGTAACGGCGTTAATCGATGAAAACCGGCGAATAGCAAATCGCGAGATCGCTGAGAGCTTAAATGTATCGAATTCGAACGTTCGTGATCATTCAAAATGCCTAGGTTTAATCTCAAAGCTCGACATATGGGTTCCTCATGTTCTTATTTTCTCCATCGTTCTTTTATGTTTTATCGTTTCTGAAACAGTTCTTTCATGGTATCAGGTCAGAACCGTTCCGTTGCTGCATTGACATGGTTTATTATGACCTACCTCTCACTAACAATAACCTTGATGAAGAAGATCAGGAACGAGGGATGAATCAAGAGAGGCTAGTTAGGATGAAGCGAAGAGCGAAAAGAATCGAGCGACGTGTGGGATCGGAAAAAACGACGCCGACTCAATCAAACGCCAACTCCCCGAACTGATTTCTTTCAACTGTACTTTTGAGATTCCCTAAAACCTCCTTTCTACACATAACTAACAACACAATTCTAGAATAAATTAAAAAAAAAAGTTGGGAAATGATAAAAATTAAGCTCATTTTTAGCTTGGGAAGATAATCATGCTTTTTCTCTTCTAAAATGGAAAGTTGGCACGTTTTCAATTTCCTTCTGCTCTTATTTTGCCAATCAGGCATTTGCTTTCTCATTAAAGTGACTCATGTCATGAACGAATAGCATATCTGTATTCCTGGCACGCTTCCAAAAAGAGCTGTCCGTGAACTGTAAAAGAGCTACAACTCCGTTTTCTAGAACTAGAGTAAATTCGCCCAGTTAAGCGAATCGGTTCTTTGAATCAGTTCCGAAGTGGATCATCCAACTCTACCCCACAGAAGTCCAGAATACAAGATAGCCGTGAGTGGACGATCCTTCAACTTACTTGAACACTTACAGGACAGGAAACAAAACTTCATTCTCAGTAAAATGCCTTTTACCTGGCTACAAAAGTAAAGTTCTTTTCCTTAAACAAGTATAGCTCCCTCTTTCTCTTTGTGATAAAACTACATTTTATTAAAACAAAATTACATAAGTTTCTAGACCAAAAGCAGAAAAAGTTTTGATACAACCTGTCCGTCCGGACCCCAGACTTGAACCTCGACGAATCCGGAGTAATTTGTGTCCGGGTCGAGAGAACCGTCGTACACTCGAAGGGTTCTCTCCTCCTCCTCAACCTCCTCTTCTGTTGCTCTCCTCACTCGAAAAGGTGGCTCCGACCTGGGATCACAAAGGCTGAACTCGCCGTCCCCCAGGACCACCTCGCTGGAGAAGTTCTCGCTGAAAGTCAGTCAAATTTTGTAAGCTGTCATTGAACACACGGTGAAATATCTACTTAAAATAATAAATCAATATGTTAAAGCAAGGCATGTAAAACGTTACGCAATTTCACTATTGGATCTGATGATATACATAATTTTTCTATTGGATATAAAAAGCAATTTTAGGTATCATCAAAAGCAAAGATACTAACGATATTCAGCATGTCATTGTTGCGTTTGATGACACCTAAAATTGACCTTCTAGATGACAGATCCAATAGAAAATCCTTACAATCTTGTAAAACCTTGACATAAACGCCTCTCTTTCTAAAATTTAATTTCTTTCCAAATATTTGACTAAAAAAAATCTACATTTAAAAAAATTAGCGTCATTGGAAAACTTTTTCAGATGGTACACAAAGGTATACACTAAAATTTGATAAACATGTAACATTAAAATATAAATGTTTGCATCAAAAATTAATCAAAAATACAATACATAATACGCTAGCTTATTTGGATATAGAAAAGCACATGAGGCCATCTGCGTAACGGATGATCTTTGTGAGAACTTTGTAAGGGAAACTGGCTCGTATTCACGTTACGCATGGGGAAAAACCATAAAAACTAACCATGCATTTAGCCTATTTGCCTGAGATCGAAACGCGCTCCAGACTTCCAGTATTCACAGCTCTAAATTACTCCGCCATAGTGGGCCATATATATATATATATATATATATAATAAGCAGACCACTGTAATCACACTAACTTCAAAATGTACCCTTATATATTTTATGTTCAAACTATTCAATAAAAATCAAACTTTTTTATATTACTTCGTGTATAACATATTACACTGGTGTGCAAAAATTAAGGACGAAGTCGAAAAATTAGCATATCAGCTGAACGAAGAGGCAGAGCGGATAGAAAGACCAATCAGGAGATTAAGTAAGTTGATGTACGGTAGCACATGCGCAGATATGCAGGTAGACGTAATGGGGGAGTGTCTGAGTAGTATAAAGCATGTTGTCAGTGTAAGATCAGTATTTCTGGCAAAGAATTCCACGCCGTATAGCAGTTAAAATAACACCGAGTTGCTGCCTCAGCGAGAAATGGCGAATAATCAATCTGCTAGACGACATCTGGATGCTTTTACCCAAGGTCGAATCATTGGGAAGTTGGAGGAAGGCCGCAGTGTGACAAGTGTGGCTGCAGAGTTCGGAATTGCTCACAGCATCGTTTCACGACTGAAAGTCCTGAAACGATGCTGTGATTGTGAAACGATGCGTGAAACGATACTTCAGTGGAGACAATTTCAAACTACAGGAACAGCTATCCGGGGGTTTAGTAGTGGTCGTCCACGAGGAACCACACCCGCAGATGATCGGTATATTGCCTTACAAGCCAGAAGAAACAGGCGGCAGACAGCGGGAAGAAATCGCTAGACACACGGACACAGGCGACTGGACGACCGATATCGCGTTTTTACCGTGGCCAGAACGACTGCACGGTGGTGGTCTGTTTGCACGACGCCCTGTACGGTGTGTACCTCTAACGCCTGCCCATCGGAGAAGGCGTTCTCTGTGGTGCCGGGAACACCGGAATTGGAGAGACAATGAATGGGGACGAGTACTCTTTACAGATGAGAGCAGATTCAGTCTGAGTAGCGATTCTCATCGCATACTCATCTGGAGAGAGCGGGGAAGCCGCAATCATCCCTCGAACATCATTGAAAGGGACAGGTATGGAGGTGGCGGTGTTGTCGTTTGGGGAGGCATCATGCTTGGTAGTCGTACAGACCTTCACATCTTCGACGCAGGTTCAGTCAACGGGACCCGTTATTGTAACGAGATTCTTCTTCCATATGTGTGTCTTTTTAGAGGCGCTATGGGTCCACAGTTCCTTTTCATGGACGACAATGCACCATGTCATCGCACAGTAGCTTGCCGAACAGCTCTTAGAGAGTGAGGATACTGAACGTATGGATTAGCCGGCACGATCTCCGGATCTCAATCCCATAGAGCATGTATGGGATTTTCTAGGCAGACGCTTGGCAGCTCGTACCTTACCACCAGTAACGATTCCGGAGCTTCGATTGGCGCTACAAGACGAATGGGCAGCAATGCCTCAACAACTCATTGACACCCTCATTCTCAGCATGGGCAGACGCTGTGAAACCTGCCTAGCAGTCAGGGGAGATCATATCCCCTATTAAAGACCGGATGTTTCTTGCTGGACACCCATCACAGGGATGTTTCGGCCTTCAGTCGCATTGCGCTCCATGCTACTTTTTCAATAAAGCTTCTTTTTATCCCTCTGATTTCTCTTTTAGTAAATGTTGCTTACATTACTCCTGTCCTTACGTATTGGGGATCTTACGGTATTAAATGTGTTGATTTGGAAAGCTTTTGTACAAAGTTATATTGAAAAAACCGTCTCATCCTTAATTTTTGCACACCAGTGTACTTTACGTAACATGATTTTGTGTAAACTTTATTTAATGTCGGAGCTTATATTACTTAGCTAATCACCATAACTTTCATATAAAATTCTGTTACGTAACTAAAAGAGGAAATAATACGAAAGTTGCGCTGCTGAGTATTCTTGTAACTTATACCTGATTTTCAGAAAAAAAAAAAATCCCCCTAAATAATAATTGATCGTTACTAGATTAATACAGGCATAGCATATTTCTATGGAATAATTTGCTATAATTCCTAATTTAAATATCACATATTTAGGGCACTATTTACACAGCACTACTCAATGTATCATAAAAGTTATATTACATGATTTATGTTTAAAATGACTAAATTTACCTGTTATATGCTCACATGTGCACATACTTCAGAAATCTGACATAATTCGAAATTTCTGATAAATCAAAATTACTGGAATATATTCATCACAAAGCAGTTTTCAAAAGTTTGGCAAATTTCTTGTCATTTCGACATAAATTAGCCTGATGAACAAAAATGAAAAGCTCAGGAGGCCCATTAGAGCACAAGTGATTAAATCATTGAACCGCAGTAGTTCAACCTGGCTCCGAATAATGATGAACGAACTGACTCTACGCATCTTTTCTTTCCCTGAGAAGGTATTCCACAAGGGCATACTTTTCCTTAATTAGAGAGTTCTCGTATGGTTTGAGCAAAATGAAAGAAATATAAATAAATAATAAAAACCTGAAAGCTTTCAGATTTTATATTACGCTCAAAGTGACCTTTATTTTAACGTTTTTTTGTGTTATCTTTATTTATTAAATATCATGTTCTTCACGCTTAGATCATAAAACTCAATTTAACAGCAATATCACAAAATTAAAAAATCTGATGTGTACACCACAAGACTTCCTTGTACGGAATATTAAACGCATTTTTTCTTGCATTTCATTTAAACTTATTGGATTGAATTAAATCTACTTCGCCGACAACGCATAAACCACAATAGAATAAATGCATTCTTTAAAATTCACTCTATTTGTTTACCACAGCGACACTCTGACGCTAGGTTCACTTAACAGTATTATATTTCGTTCATATTAACTCAGAATGCACAAAATTTATATCATTTAAAGAATTATCTAATCGTTGCCACATGTTCTATTCAAATACTGTAATGAAGCTAGAACGATGTATAAAAGAAATTAAGCAAACAAAACAAAAAAGAAACAGTTTTTCACAGACGATTGAGTATTTCTCATTCAATTAAGTCAGTTCTCACTTCGCGAGAAGGCAAAAATACATAAAAATTCAAAATATATATATTAAAAATTACTTAAATTCAATCAAAATAAATCTTAAACACTTTTTCCTCGAAAAAATTCCAGAAAGGATTAAGCATGATTTAATTGGCAATAATAAATGAAGGCGTTATCTTTGTTGTTGCGAAGCTAAGTTTCTCTAGATGAGCAACAAATCCACTAGTCTGCTGTTTCAATGTAAACAATGAATGGCCGCCATAAAAAAAAGGCTTAGCGGCACTTAGACAACTTTAAAATTGTTATAATTCTAAAAATATTGCACACAGATTTACTAAATTCATAAAAACCTTAACCGGAAGGTAAAAACAACATAATACAATCATTTTTAAAGCAAAAAATGTACAATTTACAAACATATAAGAGTAAAGAAACTGAGATCACTGAGCCGGGTAACAGAGTGGATATATATATATAAATATATTTATATACGTTTGGAGTAAAATACGAGGTGCACATGTACATGTTATAGCAGTCCTATATACAAAATTTCAACGTTCTGAGGCTACTCGTTTTTGAGTTATGCGAGATACGTACATATGTTCGTACAGACGCCACGAAAAATTCTCTTCAGAATTAATTTTAAAGGAGTTTTATAATTTTTTTGGTGGAAAGTCTTTTATTCTGTCCTTACGTACAGATGACACACAAAAACATCGTTAAATTGCATTCGATAGTGGTCAAAATGGATATTGCGTTGAAATATGCTGCCTGAAACTTTTCGCGATTACAATACTTCCTTTTTCCTTCGTACAAGGAAGTAAAAAGAGCGTATCTTTACAATTTCCGAAGTTTTTCCAGAAGCTCTGCTGTTGAATTGAATTTTAGGGTTTAAATGCGAAGAACATGAATTTAATAAATAGAGGCAACACAGAAAACTTTAAAACAACGCTCTTTTGGGCCTAATATAAATCTGAAAGCGTTCAGATTTAAGAAATTTTTTAAGTTATTATTTTTAAAATTTTAAAATAGATAAAGTAAAGCAATTATAAACTAAACTGCATGCTGAATTGGTACATGCACAAATTCATGCAATTTTTATTTGCCTGCGAATTACTTCTCAAACGATACTAAATTATATTAAAGATTACTTTCACAAAATTTTAGAACAAGCTTAGACTAACCTTATGCATTAAAATTAGTACATCTGTAATTAAATAAAAGTGAAATATCATAATTCCACCGCGGCACAATGACGATCGATAAATTATCTAACCTTCAACTAAAACAACTATACCCGACATCCAAGTTCACTGG